GAGAGAGAGAGAGAGAAACTCACCTGCCTGGACCGTGACGAGGGTGCCCGCCGCTAAATATAGCATCCCCAGCAACACGAATGCGGCTCGTCTCTCCATCCCGGTGGCGCTGCTGCCGACGTACGCGGTGGCGCGTGACCGTGTGCACCGTGCACGACAATTCGATTATCAACGACGGGCAGGATGCCCCACCTTCGAGTCGTCGTCGTCGAGGGGGTAGAGTGAGAGCGGGTCCTGGGACGCGCGGAGAATCTGGCTCTGTCCCACGGTTTTGCCCGACGGTGGTCAGTCCCGAGGTCGCTGCTGATGCCCTGTCGTCGGTGTACCAGCGCGTTCCGTCGTCCCCTCGTCGCCGTCGTTGCCGCCGCGCGACCTCCCCGCGACTCCCACCTCCCTCGCGTCACCCCGTCACTCCCGCCGTGTGGACTCGGACGGCCCGTCAACCGTCCGTCTCGCGCGAGACCAACTCTCGTTTCCTTTCGCTCCGATCGTGCACGACTGACGATCGGATTGTTTGCGCGAGAGCAGCCGTCACACCGCTGCTGCTGCTGCTGCTATTACTGCTACTGCTACTGCTACTGCTACTGCTGCTGCTACTGCTCCTCTTCCTCCTCCTTCTCTTCCTCTTCTTCTTCCTCCGCCTCCTCCTCCTCCTCCTCTGTCTCCGCTGTCGCTGCCGTTGCCGTCGCCGATGATGCGATAGAGCAGTCACGAATCTACCACTGACGTCTGATCGTCCTTATCGTTATCTTCGCACTCGGCGCTTATCTTAATGCGCACTACACACGGAGATCATCCGGATACCGTCGCCGCCCCGTTGTCGTTGCTCTCTCCTCCGTCAACCACCTCCTTCTTTTTTCTTTCTTTTCTCCTTCTCCTCGTTACCGTCGTCGTCGATTCACTCTCGAATGAGAAAAAAATGAGAGGGGGGAGGGGGAAGGAGACACACCGATCACCGTGAGGGATAGCACAGCGCGAGCCGCAGGCTACGGCAACGTTAGAAGAAAAATGGCGGCCGCTGTCTTCTGCTCGAAGCCGCCTTCTCCTCCTCCTCCTCTTTCTTTTACTCCGCCACTTCCTCCTCCTTCTCCCACGCACACGATATTCGTCTCGTTCTGTCACGCGCCGCTCGTTCTCCCGCCACTTCATTTTACGATACAAAACGAATTCTACAGTCGCGCACTCTGCGGCGATTCGCAACAGCCTTGGACCTGATTTACAATAGGTTATTTAAGCCATAAGAAATTGACCAATCACAATCAAATGTGAGGAGGCTATTTGACTGCGATTGGTCAACTTTTCTACCAATGTAAATTAATCTCGGCTTCACTTTCTTCTTCATTCTACAAATTAAAGAAAGATATCAAAATTAAAATTAATGAACATTGATAAAAATAAAAAATAAAATATGGTACTTATTTAGAATACCCCTTTCATCTTCGATTCTGTTAAATTGGATTTAATCGCGGTTTCACTCAAAATAAAAGAAATCTCGAGGCGCGGGGAAGGGAGAGAAAAGGGATAGAAAAGTTTTATTTTGAGTGAAATCACGTCGACTGAGCTCAATTTTATCAAAATCAGAGGTGAGGAGGGTATTCTAAATAATTATCTAAAATGTATATAAAACTCATTCGAACTTTTTCGATTACATAATTGTCTTCAGCTCATCATTTAAGAATGAAAGCGGACAGCAGTGATGGCGGATTCATCATTGTAAGAAGGGAATTTGGATCCTCTAGTTTGGATCCCCTGAATCTTGGACCATTTTGGACTCTCTTTCAATTTGGATGTGTGACATTTGTGGACTGCCTAGTAAAACGAACGAGCTTTGTGTTTGACAACTTGGTGCGCAATGGTTTGGACAAGGATTTCATGGGGTTAATTGTGTGATTTTTACTCGATCACATTAAAGATCTGCAAAATCCGCGTTCACTAATGTAAAAAACAAAATGTTGAAGTACATTCTTCCCGTTGGAATAATCGTTATAGCCTGCCTGTCACAACAGGCTGAGGTTAGATAACGATTCTCGCGTTGAATTGAATTTGATTCAGTTAGAGATCGCGAATATCTTTAACTACTGCAAATAATTCTAGGCGCAGTATGACGACAAAAGATGCAAATGTATCTGCCCGGGTCTCTCTTCCGTCATAAACACGACGCAGTCATCCATGGAGCGTTTGACGCCATACGTCACAAATGTTCCACCGTTACAATGGTAACTACGTAAATAAAATTTCCTATTTATTTTTATGAAACTCATTTTAAGAAAAAAAATTTTGTTTATTTTATTTTATAATCTTCAGCGAGGTTCTGTGAATTTCTGTGAATTTTTAATTAACAATATCGTTTTTTTCTGTCTTTTTTTTCATCTGAACTTTTACTGTTCATCTATATTGAAGGAAAAAGGGGCAGATGAATGATGTGAGAAGTTCAGTTAAAATACAGTCTATTAGAAATCTCTTATGCAATTAGTAGTGTCCCTTGTTGGTGATTCTCAATCAGATATGTAATTTACAGCAATTGCAAAAGTGTTGTCTTACCGAAACTTGGTGATCAAATAAAGGGCAAAGAAGAAGTGGTTTGTTCACGATGCGACTGCAAATATGAAAATAGAAATACAACTATCATTAAGGTACATATTTTTTTGCTGACAAAAAATTTTAAATTCACTAAGATAGAATAATAAGATAGGAAAATTTCTGTTGCAGATTGTGGTGATAATAGTTATATGGGTTATCTCATTGTTAGTAATTTATATGTTGTTCTTAATTTGTCTGGATCCATTACTTAACAAGAGGATACACAAGGCTTCGGCAAATATTGGTTATCATGAGCATAATAACGAGGAGGTAAATACATCATTCTTCTTTTTTTTTAAAGTTTATAAGAAAATACAAAATAAGTAATATTTTAAAACTAAATATCACTAAACTTAGCTAAATATAACTAAATTATTAAATATCATGTTATTTTCTTTTACAAAGGATGATGCATCTCTTGCACCTGGAACATCTCATCCAATGGGAGAGAGGGGCAATGTTTTGAATCGCGTTGGACATCAGCAAGACAAGTGGAAACGACAAGTTCGAGAACAGAGACGAAATATTTATGATCGTCATACCATGTTAAATTAAATTGCATGTTACATTCTTTAAATATGTAAAATATTTGAATACACAGAATATTTCTAGTTGCGACGATAATTCGGTCATCTCAAAATAAAACTTTCGCGAATAGTTTGTATTGAGAAAAATATAATTGCAGTAATAAACTAGCATTAAGTATTAATAAAAGATGTTTGCGATTACTTATTTTCGTAAAATTTGCCACTTGAAAAATTGATTCTTGGCTGATGATCAATGAAAAGAAGAAGATACATTCAAAGATTTTATAATTTTGTGATTATAATGCATTAAATAATTAATTAATATATATTAATCGCACGTGTCATGGTATATAAATAGTTTTAATCAAAAATATTCGCGAATAAATATTTCGAGTTTAATATTTATTGTTGCATTATCCTGTACATAGACGAAAAAGAAATTAATATACAGATTTTTGTAAAACTAATTCGCGGAAGGATTTTGGCACTGTGAATAGGCGCCAGAAACAGCTTTCATATATATTTTTGAATGGAAACACTAATATCATGTATATATTTTTGATAGAGAATTTGTTTCAATAATTATTTATTATTGCACTTAACAAAATCCTTAATCATATATGAAACTTCTAACACTTCTTAATTGTATAAGACAAGCTTTTGTATGCGATAGGATTCACTAAATTCCTAAGATTTTCGATCTTTTTCGAAAATTGCTTCCTCAATCGAATCTTTAATGGTATCGTATAATGTTAAGACGATAGCACCACCGGTGCCGCGAAGAATGTTAGAGAATGCACCTTTGAAAAAAGCCCCGGGACCTTCGTTTCTTGTTATCTTTATCCAACAATCCAGTGTATTTTTGTACATTATGTCGGTCTTACTTCGTCCCGATTGCATCATCATTCGTCTCCTGACTGTATCGAATGGGTAGGACATGATACCCGCCGTCGTTGTTACTAGCTACAAAGGATGATACTTGCATAATAAAAGAGTTATTGTATTCGACATTCTTTTGTATTCTTCTATGCGCTTGCGTAAAGAAAGAGACCTGTACCTCGGCAATCATAAAGTTCACGTACAATGGTAAACTCTTCGGATCGGACAGCGTGCCCCTCATAGTATCGTAAAGTCCGAAGTACGTCGCGCGATATATGATGATTCCCTGCACGCTGACGTTGAAGCCACGATACAATCCGATAAATCCATCTGATTTAAAAATCTTAAATATACAGTCAGTTATACCCTTGAATTCTCGTCTCTCGCCCTTTCCGACGTCAACAGCTAATCTAAAAGATCAGACTATTGTCTTATGCAGATACAAGCTGTCCTGAACTCTATCGCTCAAGCTACGAATGCATATTGTTATTTTCCTCCTCTTTTTATTCGTGATATTTTAATCATCGTCTTTAAGCGTAATTTCTTATGTACGTAAGGCATACCTGGTACGGGCAAGATCCAGCGGGTACACGAATAAGAGCGACGTCGCACCGGCGGCACCGCCGGCTGCTAGATTTCCAACGAACTGTCGCCAGAACGCATCTGGTGGCACGTTTCCGAGAAAGATTGCTTTAAATTTGTCTTTAAACGCAAAATTGAGCGCTTGAGTTGGAAAATATCGGATAACATTGGCGAGATTGCCTCTCCAGAAACTGAAAAATCCCGTTTCGTGAGGTATACGCATGAACGCGTCCATCATACCTGATGAAATTGTAATGAACGAGAAAATGAGAAGCTAACGAAGGGTGAAGATTATTTTTTGCACGCATGAAACGACGTAATTGTACCTTTGTAATGTTGCTCAGGTCTTATCTGTTTCGACGTATGCTGCACTTGAAGCAACAATTTCACTCTTTCGAGAGGAGCGACCGCCGTCTTCGCAATCGCCGCAGATAGACCGCCTGCTAAGAAGTCTATCAGAAAAGATTCGTAAGTATCCATTTCTTGAGGATTGCCGAAATTGACAGATACTTTAAGAAATCAACAGTTCGTAGATAGTTAAAATTATACGTTTGCTCATCTTTTAGTCGCAATCGTACGTATTTATCAAAATATTGTGCATCATACAATCTGTCAAAAGAACGAAACGTAACATAAACTTTACTATGCTACGAGTCACTTGTTTCTTCTTCAAACTACAAGCACTGCTTGAAACAATTAAAGGAGAACTTCTTCAAACATTAAAAAAATGTTTAAACTTAATTTAAAATGTTTAAATTAAGTCGCGAAGAATAAAACGAAAAAGACGCATAATTTGTACTCGTAACATTTACTTGTGTCATTGCTTTACATAAAATCGAATATATATTTATTTATTTTTAAAGCTTTATGTCGATCATATAAATGTTTGTAATCCGAAACTCTTATTCAAAAGTTACAACTATGATTCATATAAATGATTGGATCACAGTGATTATTGATTATATATATATAAACAGGGGATAAAATATATATTTTTTTTATCCTATAAATACAGAAAATAGAACGCTCACACGCAAATGTTGCATATAAATTTATCTCGAAGACTAGAAGAAAAATTTTTTTTACCTTGAACTATATTAAATGATCGAGAAACATTAAATACTTTCTTCTCTAAACAGTTGCTTGGTAATTATATTTATAAGATACATAGAATATTTAGAGAAGTGGCATTCGGCACGTATTGGCATAGAGTTATAGACAAACAAGTGGACCATCATGGTCGGTCCCTAAGAGATTCGACAAAGAACGCACACATCTTTTTCATTCATTTAAAAATACATTGAGTTGATAGGAAAATATACTAAATATAGTAGTAAAATATCAATTAAAAAGTGATTGGTATAAAAATAATATCAGTAGTAAGCGATACTAATGTTGTACCACACTTTCACTGTCTAGATTAATAAAATTTATTGGGATGAACGAAATTCCTTGTGCGAGTGAATTCTTAAAAATTTTGTAGGGAAAAAATCAGAACATAAATTTATATAAACTAGTTAACTTTCGAAATCGAAAGCAATGCGTCAATTTGAAACCATATACACATGTGTTTCAAGCAAACGCTATAAAATGGCAGTGAAAGTGTTAAATTTTCATAATATAGAAATTCCGATATTCAATTACACTTGGCTCGCGCTGTAGGGCAAGACTTAAAATAAACATATATATATATATAAAACAGAAGAATTCACTGAATACTTTCCATAAATGTACAATAATGCATGACCAGGGAAATCATTCAACTGTCCTGTATGGCACATTTACGCAGCATGAACCGACTGGAAAAGAAAATTTTCATATGAAAACCTTTACCTTATAGTCTTACATAATGCGAACAATAATGAATTTTCATGCGTACCTTCGCGATATCCACACCCGTCAAATTTTTAACAAGATCTGGAACACGTTGTACAATATTGAAGACTTCCTCGGTTAATTTTTCCGCGCCGACTGTGCCATTACCGCTCGAAACCATTGTTATCTTTTTTGCCTGAGAAAGAGGAGCGGCTACTTCGGCGGCAACCTGTAAGATGAATCAAAGTTAGAATATTTAGAATTAGAGTAGTATTTTTTTAAATGTATTTTGTGAAGATTGATATACCTTTGGAAGCGTATCAAGCATCATATCGATCATGGCCGCGCTCTTATATTCGTTCCACGCGGCGGCTTTCTTTGCCATTTGTTCTGCCTCTGCCTTAGCTTTCGCCTCGATAGCAAAAGCTTCCGCTTCACCGCGAATTTTAATGGCTTCAGCTTCCGCTTCGGCTTCCATGACAAGGCGCAATTTGTTCGCTTCGGCCATTTTCTCTAATCTAAAAGATAAATCTTAGTTGATGCACAAGAAAAGCTTAACTTCGTAATTGTTACTAAATACCTGTATTTCTCGGCATCAGCAGGACGTCGTACAGTGGCATCTAATTCTCTTTCGCGTCTTAGCATCTCTTGCTCCTGCACAGCGATTTCCTGACTGCGTTCAACAACCTTCACTTGCATTTGCTCCTCCATAATTCTCTGCTTGGTTTTCGCCGCTTGTAGTTCGAAAGCCATTTCTGCCTCGGCTTTCTACAAGTAATATTTTCATAAGATGCTGTCCATCGAATATAGATTGCAAAAAGCAATCTTAAAAATCTCCTCACTTTAGTTTGAACTTCGACATCATAAGCGGCCTTTTTCAATTCAAAGTCGCGTTGTGCTTTCGCGATCTCTGTGTCATTCAGGAAACGTGCAGCCATTCTTTGTTCCTCGGCGATAGCTTCTCTAATTTGAGCATCTCTACGCGCTTCTGCTTCACCTATTCTAGCATCTCTCTTCACCTCTGCTGTACGCGCCATACCGAGTGCTTGTAGATAGCCCTATGAATAATATATTCATAAAATACATACTGATAAAACTGTTGCATAATACGATTAAATTTATGATAATACGATGAATAATAAATGATTTCAGCATTTGAGTAAGCAGTATCTGAACGACATAAAGGCAACATGTATAAATATATATCCAGCTGTCCCAATTCAACTCTGAGATATTTTTAAATAACAAAATTTGATGATAACAATCTGTACAAGTCTTTTATAATAAATATAACTTAAAAAAAACTATTTTTATTTTTTTTGCTTGAAGAAATGACTCAGATTTCAAGAGTGTCTTCATATTTTGATATTTACAGATATCTCAATATTGAATCAATAGCAATATATGTATTTGGTAAAGAAAGTATTGCAAGTGCGCACCATTGTGCTGTTGTCAAAAAGCAATGAAAATTGTTTTTTTTTTTAGAATCTGAAGAATTTACAATAATGTTAGAAGACATAGCGAAGTGCGCTGTGACATCAGGTTATAATAGTGATAAAATAAAATTTGAACGTACCTTTGCCCCCTGTAAGTAGCAAAACAAAAAGGTATTCAATATTTACAATATACAAGATCTAACTATATTAATTATTAAAGAAAAGCTCATACTCACTCATATAAATTATTAATAAATACTGAATCATTTAAAGGGGGTCTTTTGAATATCTGTATATACATCTGTATATACACTATGTACAATTTCAAAATTCAATTACTTGTACACATTAAATATTGTCTTTCTCAATTAAAGATTTTGAACATTTGTGCGTTTGATTTACATACTTTTTTGTGTGTCTATATACCTGTTTTTGTAGATTAAAAATGCGACAAACTTACTTCCTCGTCCCGAATATCTTTTAACGTGTATGATACGACAGTAATGCCCATATTGACTAGGTCACTGCTCGCAACTTCAAAAACTTCTTTGCTAAATTTTTTACGATCCTTGTAAATTTCCTATGATAAAAAAGATTGTGTAAACGCAGCAATCTAAACAACAATTTTTAAATTTTTTCAACAGGGGAAATTTATTCAACATACCTCTACAGTCATACTACCCATTATAGCTCGTTGATGACCTTCTAGGGTGACAAGAGCTATATTGTGTATCTCTTCCTCAGATTTCCCAAGAAACTGCTCACATGCTGTAGATAACATCTCTTCATTTTGTCCTTGAATTTTTACCTAGTGCAAATATATTTTGCGTTACACATTTGTAAATTTTAACAAATGCAACATTGCTAATAAAGTTTCTAAGTTGTTACAAAGTGATTTGATTTTATGACACATATTTTATATGATTATATTATATGGAAACTATTTTATATCTAATTTGGGCTAAATATATAAGTTAATTTTATTACTGTAACACACAAACACATAATTGTAATATCTTTTAAATGTAATATAATGCTACCTGTGCTATGCCTGTTACAGATATGGGAACTCCTTGACAAGTATACACCGTTGGACTTTCGACTTGTAAAGTCATAGTATTCAATGAAATCCTATAAAAAATACATTAATCAAAAAAATTCATCTTATTATCTTATTTATATATCAAAAGTACTTTTATGATACTTACTTTTGTACTTGTTGTACAAGAGGCCAAACAAATACCCGGCCTCCAGGCACCAAAAGAGGTTTGCTGTAGCAACATCCTGAAATCAAAAAAATACATAAAGTAGAAAATTCGCGATACGGAAAAGAGACATGAAAGAGACTACGATTCAATCAGCGATTAAACACAAATTAAGTGACAAATCGCAGATAATTTTACATGCATAATCGAGCGATTTAATCATATAGGAAATGATCCAATGCGATAACGCGAGTAGAGCAGAAACATAGGTGCGGTTGTTCCCAATCGATCCCGCGCTTCCCCCCCGCCGTCTCGTCACGCGAATCAATTATCTAGGAGCGACCGAGCGCGTCTCCCATTTTTTCCCCACTTTTCTACGAACGATAAAATCGGAAGAAATACGCGGCGAAAAAAATTTGTATTCCGAATGGCACTCGGAGGTAGGGTTCTCGCCATCGATTTACCTGACACGACGAGAGCCTCGTTCGGACCGCAAGTGACGAATCCGCAGCTCATAATTATGCGTTAACGTAGAGTGACGAAACGATGACCGCGCGTAAAGAACGTAGCTACGCGCAACCGATTGACGTCGACGTACGTTCGCAGTATACGCATACGCGATAGCGCATAATCTTCTCCCTCCCCCCCCCCCCCGTCCGACCCGAGCGCTTCCATCCTCCTATGGTGGTTGGTCCAGAACACAGCGCGCATGGGCGAGGCGCAAAGCGACGTAGCGATATATGATTTGGATTCATCGTTAAAATTGAAAATGTCCATTTCCAGATAGATTAATTTCAATTTCGATTTAATTTATTTCTTTTATCTTTTTTTAATCCTAAGAATTAGAAAAAAATAGAGAATAAATGAAAATAAATAGACATTGGAATAAAAGCTTATTGGCTAATATACCTTATATAATAGTCCTACGGTACGCTCGAAAATCCTAAGAAAATCCTAAGAATTACTAAGGGAGTATATTTTGAAAAGAAATGAATCTCTCGAGTTTTTCGATGAACATGGATGACGTTTACGAATAAAAACAGGGGCACTTTATAAGATTGTAATATTCCTCTTGATTTTTTTGAGGATTAAAAAAGAATAATATAAACCAGCAATGTGCTTAGATATATATCCAAGAAGTATAATAACATAATAAATTAATTACATCCTAACTTAAAATCGTCTAAATTGCTTTTTAAATCTCTCGTAATGGTAATCGTCTGTCGCCTTCTCCCCATTTTCTTTTCGCTTTCCTCGAATATCTTCTTTGGCCATGAACTTTTTCTTATCGCCAGACTCCTGCTGCGATTTCTGGAAATCTGAGTCTTCTATATTGACTGAAATCGTAAAGATGCATTTTGTTACAATTTTAATTCATCAAGAATCATGTTAATTATCGAATTTAGTAAGATGTAATAATAATAATAATATATATATATATATATATATATATATATATATATATATATATATATATATATATCTCAATTAATATTAAAACTCATATATATATCAATTCACATATGAAAAATAATATTAAGATTCATACATCTATTATGTTGCACGAAATTTACAGCCATATTAGTGGGAACAAACTGCGAAGGACCATCTTTCTTTCTGTGTCTTTCCCAAAGCAATTTCAACTTTGCCTCCTCGGTAGCTTCAATGTTACGAATTTTAGCTCTGAAAAAAATGTTTTTTTAAAAAAAAATATCTAAGCTTAAAATTATCCTCCTATTTATACATTAGCCTACTCACTCTATGCCGAGATCTACTTCTGGAATCCCGGAGAGCATTTGATTTGAAAGCATTTCTTCACTACGATTAGCCGAACTTTGCCTCAAATGTTCTGGTACTGCTCGCAATGCCGCTTCTTCAGGCGAGCAATACGATCCTTTTTCATTATTGGCGCTATTTGCTGCATCATTATTTTTACTTTTGCGTTTTGACAATTCTTCTTCTATATATTTGACCCTAAGAAGAAAAACAGTCATATGAATTTGATATCCAATATACAAACTGACAATTGTTAATATATCTATTGTCTACAAATGTCAGCAATAATTAATTAGAAGCGTCTTTGTGCATACATCTCTTCATCCTCATCACGTTTATTAGTCTCTGCATTAAACTGGGTCCCAATGCCGGTTTCGTATGCATCATTTGGCTTATGTTTTGTATTCTTCAATGCAGTCATATTTACCATTCCTCCAGTTTTCATGTTAAAGGGATCAGACTAAATGAACGCAGATAAAATATTATTACATCTGTCACATTGCGTTTTTTTTTTCTCTTATCATTTCATATTATACACACACATAATAAAATCACATATCCTACCGTTATGACATCAGATGCAACATTCTCTCCGAGAGCTAAACCAACGACATCGACGCCAGCTGGTCTTTCACGAAGCTTTTGAATAATCTTCATCTCCTCAACTTTCTCTCTGAAATAAACGTCATCACATTAAATCCGCTGTAATTTAATTAATATAAAATATATGCAATTCCTATGCAACTCCTACCTGAGAGACACTTTTTCGTCCTCGCTGTCATCATCATCCAAGAGCGCTTCGCGTTTCCTCAAAGATTTCTTCTTTTTTTCTTAAACTGAATATTAGGCGTCTCGTCATCGCCGCTGCCCATTCCTTATTAATTAATTAATTATACTTATTATCTTCTCTGGAATAAAACTGTAACAAACAGGTTAATGCAATCGAAGCGCGCCTCGAATCTCGAACCTCGAGCCTGTTCGAGTTTCGATTATCGAACTCGCATAATTCATTTCTGGATCGTTGTGTTTCGTTCTTGAGTCAAACCTCAAATCGAAATTGTATCAAGCATGTTCGCACATCACGTGTATTGCTCTTCGAGCTGGCTCCTTTAAAATATCTGAAATTTAAATGAAGCGAACGCTGTGTTAATTCGACTCAATAAACGTGCGAAATAATTTGTTAACATGAAGAATAAACCGACTCGTCACAAGGAGACGAACGTTTTCCGGGTGAGTAAAATTCGCGGGGACAGTAATTTAGAATAAGATATTTTATCACAAATCTTGATGAAAATATATTTATTTGACGATTTTTTGATACGAAAAAATTTGGCAGAAAAACGTGACGGTCTGCCTTGCGAGAGAAATTATTAAACATTAAAGTTCTTTTCAAGGTTAGGAATTTTATCATACGACGAAATGAATACAATGTGGATATACGCATGGGCCCGAGAGAGAGAGAGAGAGAGAGAGAGACAGAGAGAGAGAGAGGGACTTTCCTAATCTTGAAAGAGCCTAACTTTAATGTTTGATAAGTCGCTTCGCGAAGCAGAGCGTTTTTTCGCTAAATTTTTCGTTTCGTGACAAAAGTCGATTGAGTGTAATTTTATCAAAAGTTGAATAAAATCCTTATTCTAAATAATTATTATTTGCGAGAATCTTAACCTTAAAAAAAATCGACAAAATAATCGAACAGAAAACATAAAAATCTGGAGTATCCGTCTTACCCGACAAGGCAAGATCTTAGATGCTCATCTTGTTATTTTTGAACTTTATATATATATAATTATATATATAAATCTGAAAAATTATGTGCGATTGTTTTTAAAGATAAATGTATGCTAAATGGTTTCAGAATGTAGTCAAAAGACATATACAGAAAAGCAATTCTAAATTTGATTTTCTCTTGGCAGTTCAAGCCGTTCTCCGAGAGAGTGACGGAAATTGATGTTGACGTCTTCCATCGTGTGACGCACCGAAACGAGGATATTGGCGACGAAGTTGAGACCTATTTTCACGAGACATTACAGAAATGGAATGTTCTCAATCTAACAGACGGCTATACCGCCTTCAAGAAACAAGTGCGAGACATTATTACGTTACCCCAGTTGCTTCATCAGAAACAGCATGTGATCGATATGCTTATGCTGTATCTGAGGAAACGAGACCCTTTGTTCCTGCAGCCTATTTTGGAGTAAGTAATAAGTGGAAATGTATGGATATAATTTAAAAAAAATTTTTTTAGATAAAGGAGAGTCATATTGCTTTCAATTCCTCTTTTGTTATTCTTTTTTTTTCTTTGTTTTCCATAGATTAGTTGTGGCGGTAGCAAGAGATCTTCAGAAAGACTTTTACGAGTACTTTCCAGAATTCCTGTCCGAGATAATTTGTCTGCTGCAAACGAAGGATGCCGAACAGATAGAATATACATTTACCACTCTGGCATACCTGTTCAAGTTCCTGTGGCGATATCTGACGAAAAATATAACAACTGTGATTCCTCTGTTGTTACCATTGTTAGCTGACACACAGCCAGTTTATATAAATAGATTTGCCGCCGAAAGTTTTGCATTTGTTGTTCGCAAGATTAAAGATAAAGATTCTTTTCTAAAACTGATGTTACATATTCTAAAAGATAGACATGGAAATGCCAAGGAAAATGGAATATCTGGTTGTGGAAAATTATTGTTTGAAGTTATAGCTGGTACTCCAGGACAGTTCCATTCCTGCGGCGAGCAGATGTTGCTGCTTTACTTCAATGCTTTGCAAGATGAATCTGTCGAACAGAAACTCACATATGAAGTATTGAATGAGATCGTATCATGTATATTGCAAAACATACATCCTCAAAAATGCAGTATTATGTGGAATGTGGTACTAAAAGTGATAGACACGTTCATTGGAAAGTCGAAGCAGTCACCGGAATCTTTTGAGAGGAAACATGCTTTAGTTCTATTTCTGCGTCTTATATATATTATTATTTGTTATAAAAATGGAAAGTTTGTAATCGATGCTGTATCTTTAACGAAAAGATTTAGCTCTATGTTGGACGAATTGAATGAAAATAAGGATATCTTGCGAGAAATCATCAATGTATCCGTAGCTGTTCTCTTGGCATCCAATGTCAAATTAATGCAGGAGAACTCGAGTCAATTGCTGCTGAAAATTCTGGCAGTGAACGATACAGGATTATTATATTTTGCCGTTGAAAATTTAATAAACTGTTCATCATTCGAAGCCTTGGTGCTGCCTCAGATATTGCGCCGCAGCATCTCTACCGGATTCGACAGCAACACGTTGTTCCTATTTGCTAAAATAATTCTCACGAAAGCGTCGTCTTGCCTTAACGGCATAACTCTGGACAATTGGAAAAAGTACATTTTAGATATACGGAATATCGGAATTGAAAGTATCGATTATCTCTTGGCAGAATTGACAACCTTATCCACTGATACTGTTTCGCTCGACGCACTGAGAACTTTGATAATTTTACCACACCTGAAACCATTGCGCGAAGAATTCAAGAACACATTAAAAGACGGTTTGTTATTTTTATATAAAAAAATATCGGAACTTAATAGTGCGGAGGATATTAATAAGACCGCTTTTGTGTTTTTATTAACGTTGGAATCGCTGATACATGTGTCAGAACCAAACGATCTTCATGAATTTTTGGTAAAATCTGACATAAAAATAATTGATCTTGTTAACAAACATTATGACAATAAATGCATTCTAAATGCGATAGATCTCTGTTTAACGTACTTCGCTGCATCGGAGCATCGCGTAGACTATATAAATATCGCATCGTTTGACAAACTGAATGACAATATAGTGAAAAAATTGAGTTCACCTTATGGCAACATTCGATTGATTGCGGCACATTTATATTCTTTATTTTCTAACGTCGAAGATCTGAAGAAGTCATCGATGGAAGCTGATGGGAAAAGTGCTATGGAACTTGTTTACTTGGCGGAAAGTGAGTCCGTGACGATACAGAACTACCGTAGCAAGTTGCTGTATTTGCAAGCCTTGGGATTTCAAAGTCACACGATAGCTAATCTAGAGCCGAAATATTATGAATTTCCGTTGCGATGCTTGATAGGCAACTTATACGTCAATTTCTCTCTGCTCTGGCAGCCCGTGAGCGCGATCATAGCCAGTTACGGCAACAGGGAATGTCCACAATTCTGGTCAACGTTTCTGGCCGAATTAACATCTAACAACGTACCGGAGACTGAGCGAAAACCATCGTTTGATTGTGACGTAGTTTCGTCGTTGGAAATGCTGATAGAAAAGCATGACGACAAGCCCGACTTCGAGAACTGTAGAATTCTCCTTTGGAAATGCATGGTGCATTTCTCGCATTACGCCGAGAAGAAGAACAGAGATCTCACTGGGTTGTTCATCGATTTTGTAAACGCGCATTTTTTCAGATCTAATTCCGATGACGGCAAGTATTGCGACGTCGAGAAGCGTAAAAAATTAATGAACGTAGACAATGACACGGACGATGAGAATGAAAGCGATGAGGAGCGTGATGAGAGTATAAAAGCCGTGCAAATAGAAGATTCGATGAAGAGGAATTACAAGGTGAAACTTTTACTCGCTCAGATGGAGATATTTGACAAGGTACAGAATCCAAAGATGATGCACAGAGAAGCGGAGCTACGTCAAATCTATCTGGACTTACTTTCTTCGAGGAATGTTGATATACAAAAAGCTGCCTTGAACTGTCTCTTCGCATACAAATACAAATATCTTTTGCCGTATAAAGAGTCTTTATATAATCTGCTAAACGAGAAGAATTTCAAGAACGAGCTCGCGCGTTTCAAATTAGATCAGGAGAGCAACATGATAGAGGAGGAGCATCGCGAGAGCCTCATGCCGATTATAATGAGAATTATTTATGCCAAGATGATCATGAAGACCGGTATGAGGACCGGTGGGAAGGCCGGTGGATTCGCCCGGCGAAAGATCATCCTGCGTTTCCTAAGCGGCTCACAAGAGGATGAGATGATCATATTCGTCAAAATGGCATTTAGACCGTTCAAGTCGTACGTATCACTGGAAGTGGATGAGGCGTTTGATTTGAGAAAGTACGCCGAGAATATCGCCGATACCGTCGACCTAAGTAACGTGATGCCGCCTAAGCGCATGCAGAGTGCCGTGAATCTGTTGGCGATAATAATAGAACAATTCGGCGGTAAGATGACGAAGTTGCTGTCGCGTCTGCTCAGAGTATTGATTTGCATCCTGGCGGAGGTGCACGGAATTCTGCGACGATCGGCCGAGGTCTACCCAGGATATCTGACGGCGCTCAAGAACGTGAAGACGAGTTGTGTCGGTGTACTGGCGAGATTCTTTGCGCATTTCGAGAATTATGATTGGAAGCGGCACGAGATAGATGCGGTCTATCACGTCGCTGTGTTCCCATCGTTGCAGAAACTGCCGATCGAGGGTATACACAGTCCTACGGCCTTGTTGAAGCTGTTCATGGCATGGGGTCAAAACTCGCGATATTATCCCCTGTTTGTGAAGCATCAGGAAGACGACGAGTCGGTCAGTCCTCTCCCTTACATCATGCAACTTCTGTTGAATCCCAAGACGCATCAATCCGTCATCAATGCCATCCTGGAGATGATCGAGAAGATGTTGACGTTGCAGGATTATGAGAAATCTAACGAGGACGCGATGCAAATGGATGCACCGTTCTTACCGCTGACGCCGGTACTCATTGATCTGCTCGAAGTAGAACGGAAGATGCTCTCGAGCGAGGTCAACTACGGTTCCGCTATACTCCTGCCGCATGTTCCTAGCATTCTGGAGTTCATCAGGGATAGACTTAAAAGATCCAATAAGAGCATAAACAGACTCGAGCTGGTTATCCTGTCGCGAATCTCCGAGTTTGTCACGGATGCTGAGACATGTGACACAGTGTTGAAGCTGATAATACCCGTGTTAATCAAAAAGGCCACGTTCGGCGGTAACGAAGAGGCCGTTATGGGCCTGTTGACGACCGTCACGAATCTGATAAAAATTGTAAACCAGCCGGAAATCCATGTTCGTTCCATCGCGCCGTTGATGGGTGTCCTGTCGGATGTGCCCGCTCGCAAGATCCTTCTGCAGCTGTATCGTATCATCGCCGAGAGGTCCGCGGAGGAGCGTCGGGAAGCGACAATTCAGGATTACGAGGTCCTGACCGCGCTCAACGCATGGGATCGCAAATGGATCGATCAACCAGACTTCCAGAAGAGGTTGGATGCTTTCGCCCGGATCAATGACATGGCCGGGAGAAATGCAATCACGCTGGAATTCGGTGTAACTGTGATACACAATTGCTTTTACTTTCTGAAAACCGAATCGGACCTGGCGATGCGAGACTGCTCCGGCCAATGTCTGAAAGTCGTCGGGTCGAAATTGGCGAGGGAGCACCAGGGCAACGTCTTGAACAGACGTTACTTGATGGACGATACCATCCTGACACTCACGAGGAGAGGCATTACGAGCAAAAACGAGGCCGTTCGCCTTCAGTCGATAGCGCTTTTGGGACATATGGCCCTGGAATGCGCGGACGTGCATCCGATCTTACGTGACTTGTCTCTGCTTACCAATCGAGCAGATCCCGAAGTCGACTTCTTCGAGAACATGCAACATTTACAACTATATAGGAGAGCTCGCGCCTTGCTGAAATTTTGCACGCTCGCTAAAACATTGCGAAAGCCATTTAATCCTAAAACGTTGACACAGTTCATTATGCCCCTCTGCTCGTTATATTTATGCAGCGAGGCTTTTATTCATAAAAACAGCCTCGTCGATGCCGCTATTGAGACTATTGGAGTGGTGTGCAGAATGTTGCCATGGCACCATTATGAGATTATCTTGAAATATTATTTGGGCAAACTGAAGAGCTCCACGGAATATCAGAAACAAGTCGTCAGAATAGTGGTGACGATATTGGATTCCTTTCATTACGATCTTTCGAAGTACAAACCAGCACAAAAAATCGCGCAAATCGAAGTTACTTCGACGGTAACAGAGAATAGCTCGACTTTTGTCGCTGAAGAAAAAGAAGAACAAGCTGAAGACGCGACTATTAAAGATGAAAACCTTGAGAGCACGGAGCAAGAAGCCGAGGAAGAATTAGAGAAAGCGTTGAACAATGAAAACATTGAAGTCGTTGAAGAAATAACGGAAAAAGATAAAGAAGATTTGCCGGTAATTGAAAAGCAAATGCTACTTTCTCAATACGGCGCAAAGAAAGTAGTGTTTAGTATATCAAATGGCTTGTTGCCTCAACTGCATCGTTCTATTGTGGCCAAAACTCGGCAGGACACTAGCCATAAGATCAACAAGAAGAAAGTCGCTTCCGAGATAGAAGAAGATGATCTGCTGAGAGTCCCCATCGCTCTCGCTCTTGTTAAATTATTGCAGAAAATGCCCGAGAATGTTCTGGATGCAAACCTGCCAGGGTAAGTATGCCAGATATTTTTTTTATTGCAATTTAAAATTATTTTGTTCAATAATAATGGCCTGAGATTCTTGGACATGAAGAGTTTCAAGAAAAATAAAAGAAAATGGCAATTGCGTTTCAATGAAACAATGCATATTTACTTTTCAGAATTTTTATGAAATTATGTACATTCCTCAAATCGCGTATGGAATCAGTTCGACGTGCAACTCGCGAGATATTACAGAAAATTATGATAACTTTGGGACCAAAGTATCTTCATCATCTTTTGAAAGAACTGAATACGCTGTTAACAAAGGGCTTTCAAGTGCATGTTCTCGCGTATACAGTACAAGCCGTTTTACTCGCACTGAAACCTTATTTCCAGGAATTTGATATCAATAATAATTTACAAAGCATTCTATCGGTAAGCATTATATAATTATTATTTGGTTACAAATGCTATAAATATATTAGTAAAATTTAATTGAACATTTCAGAGAGAGAAAGAGACACTCTATGTATTTTTTTAAATAATTTTTTGTACATAGGTATGCAAAGTGGATCTCTTTGGATTAACTGCGGAGGAAAAGGAGGTGATCGGTATTACCAAAAATGTATCAGAGGCAAAAAGTACTAAAAGCTTTGATATTTTTCATATATTAGCGGAATTTATAACAGAATCCTGCTTATTGGACTTAATCCTACCGTTAAAGGAAGTTCTAATAAAGACACACTCACATAAAACGATAAACAAGATTGTGGAATGCCTAAGGAATGTAACTCTGGGATTGGCGGACAATACTTACATACCGCTGGAACGAATGCTCATATTTCTTTATGGTATTATCTCAGAAAGCATACCAGATCTCATACCCGAAAAGGAAAGTAAAAAACTCGCGGAAGAGAAAACGAAAACTTTGATCCAGCAAACGGATTACCTTCTCATACCGCCAGAACCCAAAAACAAGATGGGTATCAAAGCTACTGCGAAAACCACCAAGCGTGCCAATATTCATGTAATGATCGAATTTGGTCTAAGGTTGTATCATATATTGTTAAAACGAGACAAAATCTCCAGTACGGATTATAAACATTACTTAGAACCATTCGTGTCAGTTTTGAGCGATTGCTTGAAAGCTCAGCATGTTAAATTATGTACCATAGCGTTACAATGTTTAAATTGGATGCTTAAGATGGATCTAGATTCGATGCGCACATCGATATCGGATATTTGTACTACTATGTTCGGCATTCTGCACAAATACGCTGCCGCGGGATTAAGTAAGGGAGATAACTTCGACCTCGTGATGACCACGTTTAAATGCATGTCCGTGCTCGTCCGCGACGTGAAACACTTCAGCATTAATGCCGAACAGTTGAAGATTCTTATCTTGTATGCAGAACAAGATTTACATGACAGCGACAAGCATGCTACCGCATTTACTCTACTCAAAGCTATAATACATCGAAAAATGATTATTCCCGAGATGCACGCTGTTATGGAGAAAGTTGCTATGCTCAGCATTACCTCGGATCTGGAACATATTAAATTGCAATCGCGATCCGTATTTTACTCGTATCTAATGAGTTATCCGCTTGGCAAACATTTAGACAAACACATATATTTCTATCTTACTCAATTGAGCTACGAGATGCAGCCAGGTCGATTGAGCGCGCTGGAGATGATTCATAGCATCGTCACGGGATTCCCATTGAAAACGCTAATTGGAAGATCAGAAATCATATTCGCAATGACTGGAGCGAGATTGATAGATGACGACGATCCGACCTGCCGTAAACTTGGCGCAAAGTGCATAAAGGAAATGCTAATGCGACTACCCTACAACAATAGGAACAGATTGTTTGAAATACCTCTTCAGTGGTTAAATGATCCTAAGATAAGATATCGGACATTAGCGGCACAACTGTGCGGCATATTTGTGACCGTCGAGAAAAACGATTTCGATTCACGGCTGCCGCAAGTCTTGCCGTTGTTATTGAAGCAATTTAATAATTTTTCCGCTTCCGATAACACGAAGCTCGAAAAACATATGAAACTAGATAATACAAATGACTTACAGGAAGATCCCAATGTAAAGGGAGAAAGAATGAAGGATCATCATATAATTCAAGTATTACAGTTGCTATTAAAAATAGCGAATTACGGATCTTTTTTCACGAGCGGAAAGTACAAAGAGTTCGTTGACTGTTTTGCTGGTAAGTTTCTTTTAGTTCAAAATATTTTTCTATTTTTTCTTTGGAAATACCACATTTTTATATTTTGTTTCAGAACGTAGCCAATCTTTGCTTGCGCATCCGCATTTATGGGTTCGATTGGCAGCTGCGCAATTAATCGGTTTTATTCTCGCTGCTCTTGATGTAGATAAAATCGTGAAACTTTTAAACAATCCAGAGAATGATAAAACGTGTGAAGGATACATGTACACAAGGCCCGTGGATACTTTAAAGAGTCTGATTCTAGATTTAGTGGCTCAACTTTATCCGGACATGACATTTGAGGAATTGGCAGATCAAGTCGTGAAGAATCTAATTTTTATTGCAAGAATGTTAAAATCGGTCGTAGGATCCGCTGCGAAAAGCGATGAGCAAGAAAATGGAAATAAAGCAGTGGATAGTAATAATTTGTCTCTTTCTTGGCTTATAAGGAGATTGAGGAAAACTGTTAATATAGAGATAACACAAATGCCTAAATCAACATCAGTAGTAAGTTCTTACTTATTGGAAATCTATATATCTATGATGATTTCAGATACACTACGTATAATCATGATATATTTTTAGAGAACTGCTGTGTTTAAGTTTATTGCGGGCATAGTAACCACAGTGCCTATGGAGTATCTGAAAGCAATGCTTTTTAACATTATGTCTCCATTGGTACGGGAAATGGCTACAACAGAAGAAATGAATACTGAATTACGACGGCTTGCCAAAGAAGTAGCTGCTATGATTAAAAAATCTATAGGAAATGAAGAATATGCCAAACTATTGAATCGAGTACAACAAAAATTAGACATTAAACGAGCGGAAAGAAGAAAAGTTCGTGCGCAACAAGTAAATACATTTTTACATTATTTTATGTTTTCAGTTTTTAAACTACATGACTATTTCTCTCTACGAACAAGTGATAAGAAATTTACATATATATTACATATATATTTACATATATATTTAAATATATATTTATATATATATATTTACATATATATTATTTATTACTTTACCAGTTTGTGACCGATCCGGATTTAGCGGCTAAGCGTAAACTAGCAAAACAACAAAAAAAGAAGGAAGCTAAGAAAAGAAAGTTGGATAATAATAAAAGGAAAAAAACAGACAAAAAACGCAAGAAAAAGGTAGAGCTGGATGATTTGTAATGATATAATTTAAGTAAGAATTTTAGTCAATAGTCGATATATAATCATATTTACTATATGAATAATTAGTTATTCTGTATATATCTTTAACTATAATAATAATTATAAACGCTAAACTATGTAGTTTAACTTATTTGAAGAAGTATAAAAGAATATATAAATTCTTGTATATAAATTATAATTGTATATTTATTACTATTTTTATACTTACTATTTTTATTATTTATTTGTATATTTATGCATAACATACATAATTAAATATTATTAACAAAAATATATATTGTTTTTACAAATTATAAAAACTCTATATGCATATTTTTGTATATGCATATATATTTTTTAAGAAAACATCTGATTTAAAATTTTATTTTCCAATATTTCGTTTTAAAAAGTTTAAAGCACCTTCAATAATTTTTAAATAATTAACAAAATTTCAGTAGCGTTCATTTCAATAGAATCATTTCAATAACCTTTTTGAAATAATTATAATTGATTAATTAATGTTTATCATATCTTTTTTTTCTCTATATATTTTTTACTTGCATGTAAAAATCTGGAAAACCTAGAATATTTAATAATTTGTAGATAGTCATAAAAATTAAAAATTCTGAATATGTCCATGTTTTCCAAATTTTTGCAAGTAATCAAAAAACCAGAAATTCTACGACCTGTAGATAATGTGTTAGGTATGTTTTTTTATCTTTAAATACAATAAATATATTTATGCTCGGCAAAAACTGAAATTATCTAAAAATAATTCAAACGCCTCAGAAATTAAAATAATCTAATGACGCAACAAAAACTATAAATCATTTCGCGTAACAATGTATACATTTTATTTTATCTCTAATTTGTATACTAATCAGGTGGATATTATCATCTAGAATTTTGCAAATAATTTTTCCTAGTAAAACTATTTTCTATTGCTATTTTATTTTTATGTTCTATTAAAAGTAAACGTAAAAGATTGATATTCATTTATTTATGATGGCATGATTTACAGGTTTATTATCTATATATATTTCAATTCGATCAGATCGATCGAAGCTACATTATTTCCATTATTTCCATATTGTATTGTATTTAAAGATATAATTTAATTAATTTATATATTAGCGAATAACTTTTAACTTAATTTCTCGATCTTCTAATCAGATTAAAGTGAAGTATCTTTTTAGAAATAAAACAAAAATTATACAAGTACACACACACACACACACACACAACACACATATGGAATATATTTATATATTACATACTAAAAAGTAATATTAAGTATCATATAATAAACTTTTTGTTTTAGAAAATTTAGAAGCATTATACTTTAATTATACTTTAAATTATACTTTAAAATATTTAGTTAAGTATAGGCTATACCATTTGAAATTTTATAGTATAAGCGGAAAAATGATAATTTCTAGTTTGATAAGTGATCATCAGCTTAAAGTATAAATTCTTATTAATTTTTTGATTTTTTTCAAATCTTTGTTTTTCGAAAATGAAACTTTTTACAAAAAAGTTATATTTTTGAAAATTTTTTTTTCCCGATTACATTGCAATTTCGAGGCACTTAAAATATATAAATCCGGCATATAAAATATATAAATTTAGCAAAAAAGGTAACAAAATCATATAATCATCACATATAATATGGATTACATATAAAAATATATCAAGTAAATATTTAATTATTTTAAATAATATATTTATAATAAAAATCCTATATTGATTTATTTTACTTAAAAAGTAAATGTATTACTGTTGAAAATATAGATTTGATTGAAATGGAGAGAGAGAAATCTGCGATAAAATTACACAAATCCTGAATTTATTGTTTTTTACTATTTTTACCTTCAGACTTCATTATTTTTCCATATCATTTGTCGCATAATTCTATGGAGAACGTTCAGAAAAAATTATGTGCGCAAAAGATATATTAAAATGCAGATATATTAAAAGTTAAAATGAAAAAGGCAAAAATGAAATAAATGTTAAAACACAAAAAGACATTAGAAAAGATAAAATGCAATAAGTAACGTAAATTTTGGAAGGGGCACTTTAAGTTAAGATAATTCTAGATAATCGCTTAGAACTTAAAGAATATAAATTGCAAAAGAACTGTGCGTACGTTCTTCTAAGCACGTAGTTCAAAGTCTATTGTCTACATATACATATATTGTCGAGGCAACTTTTATTTGGAACCACATCGTAGGCTACTAAGGCAAATAAGTAAAATAAGTTACATTTACTCGTTACATTAACTTACATCGGAAGATGGACGTGGCATTTGAAAGAAATCTTTTCGTACGTTCTGAGTACCAATCATGTCAACTTTTCTTCCCGAAAGTGAAAACTTTTTCCATCATTTTCAATAGGAAAAACTTCACTTTTCACATGTTTGCTTTAAGAAAAAAAAAAAAAAAATTAACATATTGCTTGGTACTTTAATCATTTTCAACGATAATCCGATTTTTCAACAACTCGTTTAAAATCTGGGTTACGGTGTGTGACATCTTGCGTGTAGATCCTGATCCTGAGAATCGACACTTTGCTTTACATTTTCGCGTCAAGATTCGCGCGAGTAAGTAACATTACGGAGATCTAACAGGGGAATTAAGCTTCTTAACGCGCGCAGAAATGCCTTGAAGAGGAATTCAGTGTTATTGCCCGGATGCGACTGATGATTATCCGGCCAGTTGCACAAGATTGCAATTTGCACGTGACGAATAGATTTCGTCGCCGGTGCGTACGAGTTTAATCGAGTTTATAAACCATGCCAGATCAATTGACCCGCGCGACCCGTTGTATTGACCTGATATGTTTTTTTGACCAGTTGATGTTTCTTTTTTTTTTCCAGTGAGTCTGTGATACAAGGTCGCATTCCGGTGTGTGCCATCACTTCTGTATCATCTCTTATCAAAATAAAAACGTGGACGCTAACGATTGGGCTAAATCGATACCAAGCCCGGAAGATCCGTTTCTTAAAACTCATCTACGGAGCTACACAACCGCAGAACTCAACGATCTATTTCGGGAGGAACACAGCCGATCTTCGCGTGAAGGAAAGAACAAGGCATAATGATCGTGGTCGTGGTGACAGTGGTGATCTTGACTCTTTTTCTTATTACTGCGTTACGACAGAGATCGAACTGTCCGCCAGGTAATTTATTTATTAATACTTTGGCCTCTCTTGCGAGAGCGGACGATTTAAAGTTTGGCAATGGTCGTCTCCTCGTAAGTTTAAATAGCTAATTAATTAACGATAAGACAGTGATGAAATATTATTTCGCGCTTGAGAGACATAGAATCTTTCATTTGTTAACGAAAGATTATTATTTAATGTTGTGTCATTAATGTCTATTCTTTTCGATTTAACTAATTTTTACTTCTTTACAATTTTAAGAATAAGGAAAAGATAAAAAAATTAAATCGAGATTAAGATTATCTATATTGACAAGAGTAGTTTCTGTTCTGATTAAACTTGCGAAATAAAAGAAAAAAAATATATCGTGTTAAATTAATTGACGCAGTAAAATTCGGATCTTACATGATTTTAAATAATTGAATAAATTAGGTCAACTTTGTTAAGAATAATAATGGTCCCTTTCTATCCGAGTAATCAAATAAAATTGAAAAGTAATTATTAATTTATCATTAAAGTAAAGTAATTTACAATTAAATTAATATACCGCCAATGGAAAGAATATCAACTTTTTTAATTAATTGAACAGTATTAAATTTTTATTTTCTAGAAAAAAGCAAGATAAAATTTATAAAATTAATTGATATTCCAGAGATTTTATATTCACATTTAAATAACAATAATTTTAAATTGCAATCTCTTTTAGAAATACATAAGCGTAGATAATATAATAATACTATAATACTAATAAAAAAAATTTAATTGAAAATATATATCTGTGAGATACATCATTTTTATCTTGGGATACATTAGAAGATATCAGAATATGTTAGAATATATGTGTGAAAAAAATGTATCACGGAATATATTTTATTAGAACATTTAATAAAAATATTTAAGTTAAATCTAATTTGAAATTAGATTTTATCAATTTTATTTATTCTTATTTATTCTTCTATATCAACTCTATTTTTGTATTAAAAAAATTCATAAAATTCTCATATTATTATTTCCTTTTATTATTCAGAGAGAAAAAAACGAATAAAATTTAATATTATTTTGTCGGAAAAATTTTTAAATAAATTATTAAATTTGTCTATGTAAATGGACAATTTACATATATTTATAAATATTATTATAAATAAATAATATTATAAGTATTTTACTGCGTCAATTAACTTAACATGAGATTTAACATAAGATATTTTTTTCTTCCTTTATTTCATAAGTTCAATCAGAAACTACTCTTATCAATATAGATAATCTTAATCTCGACTTAATTTTTTTATCTTTTTCTTATTCTTAAAATTGTAAAGAAAATTGTAAAAATTAGTTAAATTTATATTATATTATTAAATTATATATATTATTAAATTATATTATTAAATATATTATTAAATTTGTCTATGTAAATGGACAATTTACATATATTTATATACATATATTGTTACAACTCTATTGTTACAACTCTATTGTTACAACTATTGATACAACTATTGCTATACAACTTTGTTAAAATATATATTTAAACAATATATATTTATGCACAACTTATATTTGTCTTTGTTTTGTAATTGTAATTAGTAGTAGTAAAATTTTTCTATCGCTATAAGGAACATAAAATTTAAAAGTATATTTGATAACAACTTAAATACGTAACAAATTTGAATGCTATTCAAGGTTAAGCGGTAGATTAACTTTTTCGCGATCATAAGAGAGTCATTAGACATAAAAGATAACATGTATAATAACTTATTTACTATATTACGAATTTAATCGCAAATTTATTTCGTGATCAAATTAATAATCAATATTTCGAGTGAATCCGGGAATGATATATCGTAAATAGGAAGTGGCAGATTATTATATATAACATCGCAGTTTTATTGAAATCTATTTTTCGATAAATCATCAGAAAAATTCAACGCAATAATTAAAATTTTTGAATCTGGTTTTCATATTTGGAGAGTCTTAATTTTTAGGTCCCTTTCCCTGGCCATTTATTGGAAATCAATATTATTTACAAAAATTGTCACGTGAACTTGGCGGACAGCACTTAGCCTTTCAATATCTCAGCAAAAAATACAACAGTGGCATCCTAAGTTTACGGTTGGGTAATCAGGATATAATCGTTGTCACGGACAGCAAAATAATTCATGAAATATGTGTCACCGAAGAATACGATGGGCGTCCTTGGAACGAATTTACAAAATTACGAAACATGGGACTGAGGAAAGGTGATTAGTTTGATCACTATACTAAAGTTTAGAATTTATTTGAAAATCGATTTTAATACAAGAAATTGTAATCTTATTAAACAAAAAGAGATCGGTCTCGTTGTTTTTGTTGAATAAAGAAAAAAGAAAGATGATATCTTTCTCTATTTTAATTATCGACGATAAAACAAATTATTTATATGTGTGTGCGTGCATTTATTTTTCGTTCGTCTTGCTTGGATGTTGCTGGATCTTTCAAGTTCAATTTTCTTTGTGAAGCAAAAGGAAATGAAAACAGAGGTAGAACAATTCGATTTGCGCGGCCAGCATGTGACGCTCCGAAGAAAGTTTTTAAATTTTAAATAAATAATAACCAAATCCGAATTTCGTCGAAAAATTTGAATTAATGACGATTAAGGATGATTGAAGATTGTCGAAGATTAATGAGAAATTCTCGGAATTAGGAATCACGATGAACGACGGCCCGGAGTGGAGAGAATTGCGTCATTGGACGGTACGCACCCTGAGAAATGTTGGTTTCGCCAAGCGGGAAATGATGGAACTGCTCGTGGATGAGCTCGCGATCATCCTGGAGAAATTGAAGAGCAACAACGTGCAGTGTATACGACCTGTGATTGCGCCCGCTGTGATAAACGTTCTTTGGATGCTGGTCACAGGGAAGCGGCCATCCGAGGATCTTTCAAGGTACGTGGAATCGGAATGATCGAAACGCTTTTCTTCGGTATCCGCTCTTCCGCGGATTTGTTTCCGGAAATGATTTTTGTAAAAGAGAATATCGTTATCTCAGTTCCGCGATTATTTGCAGGTTGCAGACTTTCATAAATCTGTTGGAGCGCCGTGCTCAATGTTTCGATATGACCGGCGGACTTTTGGCCAGTTTCCCCTGGCTACGTTACATCGCGCCGGAAATGTCGGGATACAATCTCCTCGTTGCATTGAACAATGAGCTCAAGGACTTCGTAATAGTACGTGACCTTGATGATCTTCACCGAAAGAACAATTCTGCTGAAAGAATTCTAAAAGTGTGGTTAAACATGCAGAAAGTCTAAAAAATAATCTTGTTGAGCTAGCCAAGTTAATGTGAAAAACATTTAAGCGGAATGATAATACTGCAAAAATGTTTGATTGTACTCAAGTTGAACGTTATATTATTTTAATTAATTATTTTGACTTGATGAAATTATAGATCTATCTTCAGATATAGCTCTATATCCGGCCAAATTATACTATGAATTACTTTTACTGATAAACTGAATTTCATGGGATTTGCAGGATACGATCAACGAGCATAAAAAACGATACATTAAGGGAAGCGAAATGGACTTCATCGATATGTTCCTTTATGAGATGTACTCGCAGCAAGACAATATCGTATTTTCAGGTGCGAATTCATAGAGTTGTTTTCTATTACCGACTGATTGATGTTCAGAAGATGCCACGGCAATTTTCTCGGGACAATATTCGCGAGGAAATTAACGCTTCCTCCCGCCTGCCTCGCCGATGTGTTAATGAAAGCACCTCGGGCACGCGAGAGAAAGCGTTCTCATACCTCTCGCACCGACGTATGCGTAATTTTTTGTGTCATCTTTTTCAGACGAGAATCTGCTCGTGACGCTGATCGACTTTTTCATCGCTGGCACGAATAATACGGCGGCGACATTGGACATTCTCTTCTTGCAGATGGCCAATTATCAGGACGTGCAGCGTAAACTACACGAGGAGATCGACACCGTGATTGGTTCCAGATTTCCCGTTATAGAGGACAGAGTGAAGTAATAATGCCGTAATTCTACGTCTTTAAGAAAGAGCGATTGCTTTCTTAAATCATTAACAATATTTTGTTTATTTGGAATATTTCTTACGAGAGGGAGAGACTTGTTTTTGTTAAAAAAAAAAATATTCAAACGTTCGATTTATATTGAATTCCTAATAAATGAAATCAATTGCAGAATGCCATTTACTGAGGCGATATTAACCGAAAGCCAACGTCTATGGCTCGTAACACCTATAATCGGACCACGTCGCGTTCTCGCCAATACGATTCTCGATGGCTACAAGATACCGAAGAATGCCATTATTCTTATGGACGCATATTGCAATAACATGAATCCAGAATTTTTCCCCGAACCGACTTCATTTAAACCAGAGAGGCACATTCTTAAGGATGGCACTCATAAACCACACGAAAATATTTTATTATTTGGAAAAGGTTTGTAAATTAATGTGAGATTTACATAAAACGAATTTTATGATTTTACGATTTTACGATGTTTTTAATAAATAAAAGAGATAAGAGTCAAATCTCAGATTTTATCTTGAAGATCTTGCGAAATCAAAATAGCTTCTTCATTTATTAGGTCGTTTGATATGCTTAAGTCGCATTTAACCATTCTCGTATCGCCCCGTGTAAATATGTATATAATTATGATAGCTGCCTTGTTTTCTTTTCGGGTGCTTCACGGAAGGTCGAGAGTGCCTTTCACGCTGAAGAAACTTACGATATTCTTTTAATTAATACTCGCTTATAATCCCAATGAATAATTGCGATGAATCGATTATCCTAATTCGAAGAAGAGATAATGTATTTTTTCTCCTTTCAGGAAAGAGGAGATGTCCCGGAGAAGCTTTGGCAAGATCGGCTATGTTCTTATTGTTCGTTGGGGTAATGCAAAAGTATCGGCTGCTTCCGATGCCAGGTGAAAAATTTATTAAAATGGAATTAAGCGCCGGATTGACAATTGCACCAAAGCCTTATGAAATGTTAATTCTTCCAAGATAAAATTTCGTTTAACAATATTTATCTAACGAAATAAAAAGTACCTAGGTTCTTGTTTGAAAACAATTTTATCAAAAATCAACACATTTTGACAAAAGTTATATCATTTTAATTGATTTTGTTATGTTTTCCATTTGTAAACATTGATTAGAGAAAAAAAGGAGACAAACAGAACTACAATTGTAACATATTTTATGTAAGAAGTTTTTCATATATTTGTTTTTTAAATATTAGCTAATGTATACAGAGTGGTATACCCTATAAAAAGTATAAATATAAAAAGTATAAAAATTTACTGCAGTGATGTTAAGTTATGTATGAATGTAAAAACATTGACATTGTTAATGATTAAAAAATTATATATGATATATTAAATACGAGTCTCGCATCCTCCTTTCTTCAGATTTCTATCTTCTTATGTTAAAAGAAGACGATCATATTACAGAAGAGGGAATATCAGCTATACATCTATAGAGATCCTCAAGTGAAACACACGATGCATCTTTCTCGTATTAGATCGCATGAGAGTCAGCAAATTGCTAGAAATGCGCAACACAATTTCTATTAACACGTTCGTTTATTGAAGCTGTCATCCACCTTTCACACTCGCGTCTGGCATTTTCGAGATGCGCGAATAAGTAATCGAAATCAAACCATCTTGCGCGTTAATAGATTTGTCACGAAATGCTCTATAACGTCACGTGTTGCGATACGACAGACTTACTTTTCAAAACACGTTCGCGAGTTCGTGGAAGACATGAGAAATAAAACAAATACATAATTTTTAGAAGACAAAAAATTTTATTTCAGTCAGAAATATGAAAAATAATTATTAAATCTCTTTTATTCAAAAACATCTGTTTAATGATTAGTAGAAAAATCTAATAATAACTCATCATGGAGAAATACTTTTTTTTTATATCTGCCTGAATGTGAATGGAGATGCAATTGTCTAGAACAAACTGTTTAGTCGTTTGTAATCGACATGCTTCTTTATTGTGTGTAACTCGTTATGCATTATACGGGTTACTATGTGTTACGCGTTACGCGCGGTGCGAACCGTTTGACAAAAAGATTCGTTTCCGTTAAACCGATCCCCTTTATGACGACGGCACGGCACGGCCCGACGTTTGCGAATGGCGTTTATTGGTTTTACGCCTGTGAAAGTCTTGCTTTTACGCGTCGTTTTACGAGTTCGACGAAATCGCGCCCCTTCGCAGAAGTCCAAATGTACCGTCGTGTGCTCGCGCACGATCACCACGTGGCGATCGTCCCTGGGTGATCGGATCTTCTCCTCGTGAGTTTGAGATAGTACGGCTTCGGCGATATGGTGAAGCCGTCGTAGCCGTTCAGATCCGGCCTGGCGTGCTCGGTCGAGGTCTCCAGGTCGAAATAATGCACGATGTAGGCGAGGAACAGGAACAACGAGGAGCGCGCCAGCTGCTCGCCCAGACATCGTCTCTTGCCTGAAACAATCGCCCGCATTTCCCGCAATTAGTTCCACAATGGCGAATTGATTATCTTTCGCGTACATTCGCAAAGGTTGAAAAACCTTGCGCAATATGAGGGGGCGAGAGCAGAAATGACTTTTGCGGGAAAATGACGATTGCGAAAGTAGGACGTTAATGGCTGTATTTCGGCTGATTGTGTCTCTTCCGTTGAGATTTACCTAAACCGAAAGGCAGGCTGTAATTGCTCTGAGAGAATCGACCCTGCTCGTCTAGAAATCGTTGCGGTCGGAACTCCTCCGGTTGATCCCAATACGTTTTGTCATTGTGAACGCTGTGGTAGTCGAAGAGAATAATCGTGTCCTGCAAAATAATAACTCTCTTCTAACACATGCGAGTAAACAAAAGCCAGCTTAGAGTATATCGTTCATCGATAATTAATGGCGAGCTTTAACATAGATATCGATACTTTATTTCTTCTTTTACGGTAAGTTTAGAAAAGATCAATAAAAGTATAAAGAAAAATTTATCTTAAAAAGAGGGCGATATGTATATATGCGAATAAAGAAAGAAATATTAATTTTACATATATACGAAACTCGTTAATTATTCAGAATTAATTACCTTGGGTATTTGATATCCATTGAAAGAAACATTCTTCTCGGTCCGATGAGGTACACCAAGGGGAGCCAAAATTAAATATCTTTGTACCTACATTAAATATATTAATTTCATTGTGTTATATCATTTAATCTTTATTAACGTCATTAATTTTTATTAACATCACAGTTAAGATATTCATTTGTTCGTTGTTTCAACTATTATTTACAATAATATAATATATATATTATTATATATTATATAATTATTAATTAAAATTATTTAAGCTTCCTTGTTATAGAATTGTTAATTAAATATTTATGAAGATTCAATATTAATATCAAGATGATTTGTCAACAAGATTATATTTTGTTTGTCGCAAATATCAACTATTGACAAGTTAATACATATTATACATAGTATACATTTTATTACGACACGTTTATATCTTACAATTTGTATCTTGTAATTTATGCTTCTCTTTTTTTTATACTACCTCGGCTAAGAAAGCTTCCGTCATTGGCAAGGATGATAAATCATCCTCGGTTGGAGGTCGTGATCTACCAACGACATCGTCCAACTCGGCTTGAAGTATCTTTAACCACTCAGGATGCAGCGACAGGAAGAGAAATGTAGTCGCTAAGGTATCGCTGGTCGTCTTCGACCCGGCCAAGAAGAGATCGAGACACAGCACCAATAAATTCTCACCTGCGGCGTGAAACGTGCGTACAATGTGTGTCAATAATAATCGCAATTTATTCTCGTTTACGCCAGTTACGTACGCATAACGTAAAGCTTACTTAATCTAAAAGAAGAGAAAAATATTTAACATAATGCACGTCTTTTACTAATTTCGGCAAATTTTACGAATTTTTAATATCTGAAAAGAATACTCCTCATTCTTCGATCTTTGTGAAACTTTGCGACCTCAAACTCCGACTGAACGAGATAATATATTTGGGACGCAAATTAAAATAAACCGATTACAAATTAGGTAGTAGATAATTGACCCTCGTAGTTTAGACAAGCTCATGTAGCGTGCCAACTCACGATCAAAAATCGTATCTTCGTTCTCGTTGTTTTTATAAATCTCCGAAAGAAAGGCGTCGATCAGGTCGCGCGGTTGATCGTTGGACTGGTCCTTCTCGTGCATCTCGATCTCCTCGTCGAGGAACCTCCACAGGTTTTCAAGAATCCTCATTAACTCGTTGTATCCCGACAACTCCGGAATTACGAAACGTAGAAAAGGCATTTGCGAGATCACACCACCCAGCGTATCCGTCAGTCTGTGTAAGGAGCATTAAACGATGTTCTCTCTCTGTTATTATTTCGATGAATGAATGTTGAACGGTATGGATTTACTACCTGAAGGCGTCGTGAACTAACACGAGCGCTTCTTGCAGCTTTGGGTCCTCGTACAGAAATCTGTGTCCGGCGATCATGAACCACAGGGAATTGAGCACCGCGACATCGAACACCGTGTGCATCAGCACCGGGCCGTGCTCGCTCGTCCGTTCTAAGTGACTAATGAGATTCTGAGCCTCAAGGGTCAATCGTTCTCTCATAGTCGACTGACCTATACCGAACGTACGGAGATGCCGCATCGTGAATCTACGGCACTGCGTCCACATCGGACCCTCGATGAATAGAACGCCTTGAATAACAAACGCCATTTGAATTGGGAGGAGACTTTATCTCCCGAAACATCGTCAAATAAACAAACGAGTATCTCGCAATCTTTGCAAATCTCTACACGCGTGTTAATGCCGATACGGTAGGACTTTATACCTAGAGTTTCGTTTATTATTTGTGTCACGTAGTGCCGCGTACCCTTTCGTTTCCCGAAGGCTCGTACCCTGAAGAAAAATCCGTCCGGCCGGCTGTTGAATTCCTCTTGGAGAAGACCCTTCTTGACGAGGTCGTACGTTGAAATTACTACCACGTTTTGATTTCCAAGCTTTAATCCTAATATCGGCCCATACGTGCGCGATAGTTCTTGCAGAGCCGTATAAATATATCCATGTTTTGAACGTAGCCATCCAAATTTCAGGATACATCCGAAAAATGGTAGCCATGCTGGACCTGGAGTGAGCAATATTCATGCTAAAAGTGCCTCGTAATTAATTTCAACATTAACATTACTTTATTGTATTTTTTTAATTTTACCATTATTAAAATATCTTTGTATCTAAAGCTTTCATTAAAATTGTAGCAAAAATATTTTTTAAACAATATCTGAATACAAGCCGAGTATATTAATAAACAACTGAAAGAATTATGAGCATTACTCGTAGATTTAGCAGTGTAATAAATAAAAAAAAAAAAGTATTACTCGAAAGCAGAATCTTAAAAATATTTTTTATTTTTTTCGGCTTAAAGCATAATGTGATATCGAGAAAGCGTAAAAGTTTGAAATTTGAGGAGAATATTAAAAATTTCGATGAATTAAATTTTTCTCAGAAAGTCGGACGCGTAAATTTCACTTAAAAATAGTGTTATCCCGTTGAATTTTGGAATTAAATTAAATATTTAAATTAAATATTTATTAATAACTCCAACATATCTCAAAACCCTTTAACTTTCTCCCGCAAGTTAAACCTTGTAAATTAGATACTCTGAAAGATCTTGACTACTGACACTTGCGGGAAGAATCTTCTTTATTAGAAACTATTTATAACGCGTAAATAAAACTAATCTTGAGATTAGAGATTAGAAACTTAGAAGACTGTTAAAAATTTTGACGATATATTCGAGAAGTCTGATCTAAATTAAGTTAAAAAAACGAAAACGAAACGAAAGTGTTATCTAAAGCAAAGAAGCAAGGAAAAGTATGGAAGTAGGTACGGTAATTGGGTTATAATATTCGCAATATTTGCTATGGATTGAACGGTTAATGAATTTCGCATTATCGCGAGTTATCGAGTTATCGAGTTTGGCACTCACCAGGTGGATAATTTCTCGGTTTGATGCAATCGTAGATACAATAGAGGCAAGCAAGGGCGAAGAAAAGGTAGATCAGGTCCAGCATTTTCAGATGCTCCGGGATGCGTCGCTTTGTAACTTCTGCTGTGGTGAATTAGTCAGGAGTCGGCTATATATATTGCCTATGTGTGTGTGTGTGTGTGTGTGTGCATTTACACACTATATACATATATGCGGCAATAAAACGGTCTTAGTGCAACCCCATGATTTTATCAATGCAACGCGTGTGACCCCGAACAAAAATATCTCTTTACGTTCGATTACCATTTCGGAGTGCATATTTCTCTCCCGCTTGGAGTCTGGCTATTGAACATGACAGGACCTTTCTTTGTGGCTTATGGAATATGCTTAACATCCGTTAAACAAATCTGATGTCGGTAAAATATTTGCCCTACAATTAACGTATAAACGCGAAACTTCATTTATAAAAACTTTTTTTATAATATAGTAAGTAAAAAATATTAATAGTTTAAATAAGACAAATTATAAATAACTCGTGTATACGAAACAAGTAAAGTCGACAGGTATCATTACAAATAATAAAAATATTTATTAAAAACAAATATAAATAATAAATTAAATAAAATTAAATTTAAATACTTGAACGTTTTGGCTATATAGAGTCTTCTAAGATAAAAATTCTACTAAATAAAATTTGTAATAAAGACATATAGAAATTACATAATAGAAAAACGGAGGAATTTAACTAATAATAAAATTAATGGTTCAAATTTAAAGGTTTTATGCAAAATTTTAACTGTTATTAATTTAGCATCAGAGTTAAATGAGAGATCGAATTAAAGATGTTATCGTGCAATTAGAGATACTAATTAGCAAGTTTGGGACATTTTCTTCGGTAAATTCCCGAGGAGAAAACGTATTCAGGCTAATTTGTTTGGGAATAACTTGCCGAGCGATATCTTCGATCGTAATTCCGAACGAAAATTAAGTCGAGGTGACACAGGTAACACATTGTTCTCACATCGTGTGACCCTTGCATATGATATTTAAAAATTTCTTATTATGTTGTAAAATGCCTGTTCACAGTATTTATAAATCACAGTATTTATCGCTCGCAGCTCGCGCTTTGCATACGAATGCGCGCGCGACACAGAGAAACAACAAGAAAAAAATTTTCACAGTGGAATAATCTTGGGCATGTTTTCCTATCTGTTTATCGGAATCACTTTTCCTATCTGTTTCATCGGAATCACTTTGAAAAAACTTGAATGACAGATGCAAGAAGAGCAAAGAAACAACAATAAGCCGCCAATGAAGTCCACAGATGTTGCGTTCGCGACATGTTATTAAGTGCGGGAAATAATAATCGAGATATCGAAACGTGAAAGTTTGAAATCTCTACAACGAACAAAAATAAAAACAAAATTCGGAAAGTAAAGGAGACGAATGTCGGAAGATGCGCGCGTCGCGCGTGGCACCCACGTGCAAATTTTGCACGTGCATGACGATCGATCGGCCGAACGGAAGGCAAACGTCGGACAAGAGTGAAAATGTTTCCTGCGTGTCAGGGAAACGACAAATCATCAGTATCATTGATTTCTCTGATTCTTTTACTTCCTTTTTCTTTTCCTTCTTTTTTCATTTCCTCGTTCGATGTCGCCGCGTGATCGGAGAAAAATCCGTATATTCTTCCGTAGTTGGCGCCAGAGAAATCTCATCGTCATCGTCATCAATCGAGCGGAGTCTGCATCGCGCAATATGGTGCGACCTACCGGGACGGACAGCACGGTGGCATGGATTAATTTATACCGTTGTGTGTGGGTGCATGGATACTTTCTCCATGGTCGAGGTCCTCTACATGCTGGTCGCCTCTGCCCGCCATAACAGACTCCACTTTCTCCAATTTCGCAGGGATACGTGCGCGTATTCGCATTGCATCATCCTCGCCTCGTAAGTTCAGGATGATGGCGATTCGCTTTGGAAATTAGGATAACGGTCCGTTCGGATGGTCCGTTTTTAAGGAAACAGCTGTTGCAATCAAACGGTACGAGGCTCGAATTAAATTTGACTCTCCATTTCCAATACACGATGTAAAAGAAGTGGATCGATGTCGAAATAATGTGCTTGTAAAAAGTGTGATTATCTCTTCGAGTTGTTTTTACTTGATCTAAAATAAAAAATCATGCAAAATAATTTATTTATCAGTTATTGTCATTATTTATTTTGACGATGGAAATACGGGATGTTTGTTTTTTGATTGTTGTATTCGTCGAGATGCTATATCAAGAAATTTTTATGAATAAATGCGTTATTTATAAAAATTATATTTACGTTTCATCTCGCGCAAAGTAATTTGAAGAAAAATAAGTTTCTTTGTATTATTTTTTTTAAATTATCATTTTTATTGTTTTATTTATCTCGCTTGTTTTTTCCTGTAAAGCGTATTTTTATAAGCAATGTCATTATGCGAAATGATAAAGTTGAGTGCGTAAGATATATCAGTGCTTTCTCCCATTCAATGATAATTTGTGCATGTTTATAGAGATCTAAAATAGAGAATTAAATTTAAAGTTTTTGTTGAGATAACACAAGAATAAATGTTTATTAATGCTTATTTGCATTTGTAGACTTTTTGGTAAAAAGAGAATAATTAAGCGCTCGACTTTTAGAAAGTCGTGTAATTTGTCTACGTTTAAAAATGTATATCAATTGATATCTTAATTTTCTTTGAATACGAGATACACATATATTTTCCATATATTTAAAAATGAAAATTTGTATATGATTTTCCGCAACTTTATATTCAAAATATTTTCTAACGTTTAACGTAAAGTAAACAATTAAGTGAAACTGTAGAGCTGTAAAAAGATAAGACGGGAAAGTGAAATAATCATAACTGAAGAATTAACAAAATACTTATAAACTTTATTTGTAACAGTATTAGTTAACAATAGGGGGAGACAACAATGTATATATAAAAAAAAAAAACAAAAAGGGAAAAATAAAGGTTATGACATGTCAAGGTAAGGGTGGTACCCCGGACAGGGAGTCAGTCGAACAATTTCGGGTAACTTAAGTTTTACGCGATCTTATCTTAATCCTAAGACGTAATATATACAGCGGCTTATGTTACAGCACTCTCGCGCGGAGATGTTTGTACAAGCATTCTTTTTTTTGGGGAGGGGATTACAGTACGGTTATTTCCTGCACGGATATTTAGCTCTATCAGCGGCTAGGAAACGCAAAGTTGGCTACTGGATTTCCGTTTTGATTAGCCGGCGGTGGTACCAAGTCCTGCGTGATCGTCGGTGAACTCGCCTTAAAAGACCGATCCCATCCGACTTTGTTACTTTCCACCTGACGTTGCTGTATCTGTTGTCCCTGCCGTGGCTGCGGCTGCTGTTGATTCTGCGATTGCTGCGTTTGCCTCTTCTGCTGGGCATCTTTGTCGGGGCTGTAGGGCACGATTTGCGTGTTCTGAGCCTGCGAGTCCTTGCGATCCCAACCATGATGGTGATGGTGGTCCTCGCTGGGGAACCATTCGGATATCCAGACTGGTTTCCAGATCTTCTTCCACGCCGGTACCCAGATCTCCTTCCAAGCTGGCACCCAGATCTGCTTCCACGCTTCCTTCCAAGCGAGCTTCTTGTCAGGAATCCATTCCAGCTTCTTGTCGGTCTTCCAGATTTGCTTCCAAGCCTCTTTCCATTCGAGTTTCTTGTCAGGCACCCAGACTAACTTCTTGGACGGCTTCCATATCTGCTTCCAGGCTTCCTTCCAGGCTAGCTTCTTATCCTCCACCCAGATTTGCTTCTTCGCTGGTTTCCATACCTGTTTCCAGGCCTCTTTCCACTCCAGCTTCTTGTCTGGAATCCAGACCTGCTTCTTCGCCGACTTCCAATATTTCTTCCACACTGGCTTCCAGATCAACTTCTTCTTCCATAGATCGTGACTGGTATATTGCCATCCATGATGATCTGTGCCGTGATAGTGTTCGCCCGGTATACCAATCTTCACCCACTCGGGAACCCAGAGCTTCTTCCAGGCGGGTACTTGAATTTCCTTCCATATTGGTACTTGAATCTCCTTCCAAACCGGCTTCCAGATCTTCTTCCACGCGGGTACTTGGATTTCCTTCCAAGCGGGCACTTTGATCGGCTGCCAAATCGGCTTCCAGATTTTCTTCCAGGCTGGCACCTGTATTTCCTTCCATACGGGCACTTGAATTTCTTTCCACACGGGCTTCCAGATCTTCTTCCAAGCAGGTACTTGAATCTCCTTCCAGACCGCCTTCTGAGTCGGCACCCAAATAGGCTTCCAGATTTTCTTCCACGCGGGTTTCCAGATCTGCTTCTGCGCGGGTTTCCAAATTTTCTTCCAGCCCGGCTTCCAAATTAGCTTCTTCTTCCAGTAACCCTTGTCGTGATGATGGTCATCATGACCGCCGTGATGTGCGTCGATTCCTCCGCCGATGTCACCACCGCCACCTCCATAATCACCTCCTCCTCCTGAATGACCGATATCACCTCCACCTAAGTGACCACCGATATCACCGCCGCCTATGTGACCTCCAATGTCACCACCTCCAGTGTGACCGCCGATGTCGCCACCACCAAAATGACCGCCGACATCACCACCTCCAAAATGACCGCCGATATCACCACCTCCAAAGTGACCGCCGACATCGCCACCTCCGAAATGACCACCGATGTCACCGCCGCCACCGTAATGCCCACCGACGTCACCACCGCCATAATCGCCGCCGCCACCGAAGTGCCCACCGACATCACCACCGACATCACCACCGCCATAACCGCCGCCGCCATAGTCACCACCGTCTCCTCCCCATCGTTTTTGCGCTTCTGTACCGTATCTGCGACAATCAATGACATTGATTCAAGACTGAAAAATTAATAAATCTGGTTTTAGAGGCATTATCTTATTTTTTTCTTTTTTTTTTCAGAAAGTGATACTCAGAAAAGTCTGTATGATGTCTAAAGACATCGTAAAATGTAAAGTATTCGATACAAATTCGAAAATATAAAGAATAAGAAGAAAATTTCAAGACATATTAACCTTAATTTAACCATCAGTATCTTGTAATTTGCAGATTAAATCTTTACAAACAGATTTGAAAACAGATTTTATGATATGTATCGTATATTATTATTATTATTATTATTAGACATGATTTAAAGAAAATAGCTGTTCTTCGTTGGATTATTCAGCCATTATACGTACGGAGTTTGCCGCTGTGGTTGCTTCTGCAATTGCGTTTGATCCACAGCCTTGCTCGCCACAAGAGCGATCTGCAATAGCAGCGCTAGTACAGCCTGTACATAACGAAATGACAGTGATAAAAGTAAAACAGTGATAAAAAGTAAAAAAGTCGAATAAAAGGTCGTCATTGTTGTACAGCAATTATTAATCTTTCTTTTTTTGACAGTATTTTAATGTCGATATCAAGTCAAGCATAAATTGGAATAAAAAAGTGTTACAGGAACAATTTTTAAAACTCCGCGGTTTATTAAATGTAAATAAATTAATTTTAATAATTAACGATATTTGACATCTTTTCATCAAAACATAAATATAAATATAAATATAAATAATAAAGATTTGTGAATGAAATAAAATGGTTTATGAAAAAGAAAAATTGATTTAAAATATATAAACAGATTTGACACCATTCAGAGATTTATAAATTCATATAGATGAAATCTTGCTTATAATTTTGCAGATTAGTAAGCTGATGTAAATCTACGTGAAAGAGAAAAAAGTAGGCTGACAGATTTAAAAATCCGCAGATTTTTAAATACACGTAAATTTATCAGTCCACAAAATTATTGATGCGTTTACGACGAATATTTTTTCATTGATTTGACAATATAACAAACCGCAACGCGGTTATAACGTTAATAAAAAAATCGACAGGTCCGATTTACATCCGACGAATTGAGCACCACGCTCATTTAACAGGCGCGAAGAAGCTTCTGAAGAATGTCATGATCTCGAAACTTGAAGACGCACTCCGAAAGTCTTTCCGGTATACGCATTTACGGTGCAACGCACGCCGCGCACCGTAAAGACCGGAAGATCCGCGCGAGAGAGACGGATCCGGAAACAACCGCGCGGCACAACGCGCGCGACACGCGTCTGCGTCGCGACACTATTTTGAAAAAGAGTGAAAATTGGATGGAACAACTGACCGCGCATCCCGAGCGAATCCTCATATTTCTCGCAGTGCCGCCCGTCGGGCTCGGGCTGCGTACTCCTGTTCCCTGGCCGCAGGAAAACGTAGCTTACTTCGTCCAATCATCGGAACGCCGTAGTTATATAGGCGCGTATCCTCCCCTGAAGGCATCACCGCAGGAACACATCGGCGGTAAGGAAGCGACGATCCGGTCCGTGCCGGCAGTGGTGGCGAACCGTCGGAGGTGGAGGTGGTCCCCGTCCGTGCCCCACGTGGTGGAAATCGAGGAATTCTACCTGAAAGGTGGTGGTGGTGGTGGTGGTGCCCACCGTTGTTTCGGGTCTTGGACCCCCTACAATCGAACCCTCTACCTCCTCCATCTCTGCCGTTCTCCCTCCAACACCCCCACTTTCGACGGCCAACCGGGCCTGCGTCCAGCCAAGCTATATCATCCGCTCGGAGAAAGTGATCGAGAGCACGATCCGGTCGAGCGAGCAGGAGCGACTTCGATCTCCGGTTATTCCCGCTCGTATGTTTCAACGGTGAAGTTCAAGCCTCGCAAGGTTATGCGACAAGGTTATGCCGCTCCAGATTATTTCGATTGCCTGAGAGAGAAAGAAAACACGCCGACGACTAATGTCTTCCATGTTAGATATCTGGAAACGAAGTTTCTCGTCTTCCTTCAAGTCAAACCGGTCCCAAGAGTCCGCTCCGTGAAAGCTACTCTATTTCCTATTAATAGTGATAGTCCAAGTCGATATGAATGAAATGTACATTAATTAATTAGAGATATATATTTCTCAATTCACAACTGGGATTCATCATTTCAGGAAAACAGGTTCTCTCGAATCATTGATCATTTTTATTAAAATGATATTTTTGGATATAACAGTAAATAATGTATATTGCTTTTATAAATATTGATTTAAGACATATATTTTTTTAAAGTGTTAAATTGCACGTGAAAGAGTTGAAGCACTTTATTTAAGTTAAAACAATATACTTAATTTCCGGCGGATATTGTCCGCGAAATAGGCAAGTTAATTTTAAATATTAATTTTATAGCATGTAATGCAGTTCATAATTATACATTTAAAGTATTCAGAAATTTATCTAAGTTAATTAACAATTATTTTAATTATATAAAAATTGTTACAAGAATAAAAATTAAGAATGATGTTAAACTACTCGTATGTAACAAAGTTATTTATTATCTTGCATCTTTGAAAACCAAAATAAATATTCATTATATTTAACAATAATTTTTCTTACTACATATTACAAATAAGAAAAAAAGTACGACATTACCAACATCGATATCAAATATAATTTTATTTTTAAAAACTGTAATAAAATTAATTTAAGAGAAATTTCAAAATTCCAGCACACAATCCAGCACATTGCTTGCGAGGTTTAATGTTTTCGAAATGGCTAAATGTGTTGATAATGGTGAAACGAAATAAATGTCGCCGATTATCAGACAGATCCCCGGCGGGATCGGTTGTGAAACGGATTAGATATTTTAATAATCGGGGAGAGCGTGGAATCGGGCACGTTTAAAGGCTGTTCGGATGAGATCCTGAAATGTAGGATAGGAAGAATTACCGGCGATCTCGAAGCCCTTGCCGCACTTAATCGCTCTGTTTTGCGCGAAGCTTACGACCGCGCGATTTTCTTCCAACGATGGCACCTCGGCGTCGCGGGAGAAAGCGTACCGGAGAACGGTTTCGTTGCATACGGAGTGTGCAAGCGCATTTTCCGCTTTTTATCGCGGAGCACAATGATGCCCGGCGCGGCAGCGAGCAGTCGGGAAAATTAGATCTAACGAGGACTCGTTCGTGAGATTCCACCAGCGTGATAGATAGCGAGAACGCCGAGAACCACTCTCGCTTGCTCGGAGAACGAATATCGAGAGCGATATCGGGAGAGGAACGTCGTCGGTGACGAAGAGAAAGAGAGAGAAAGAGGAAGAAAAAGAAAAGACAGGAGACGCCGAAGATCGACAGGCGCGTTTAAGTGACGTTTAACGGTAGACGTTAAATTGCGTTAAGTGCGTATATCCGTTTAACATGTCGCGCCGACTCACGCGGATGAAAGTGAATTCCCTCGTTCGCGCCGACCGCTAGAGAGTCGCGACATGCGTCTCGAAACTCGGGGTATACGTTCTCACTATTCCGGTTCGTAAATCACTCACCCGCAGCTGCCCGTGACTGCTCTAGATTTTCGCAGTCATGAGAGCAATCTGGACAAAAGTGCCGGGGGGGACGTCCGACCGTTCCCCTCTGGCGCGAGGATATCCGGCTTTCAGCCGGTTACACGTGTCTGTTTTTAACTTTAATTGATGATTAATTGAGTTTTGAAAAAAATTCTGATAAAATATTAATGAAATTAATATAAAGTGTAAAATACTGATAAAAATAAAAATATTAAAAAGAACGGAAAAACTTTTGGAAAATCATAGAATTCTCTTTTTTACGTTTCCCTAAACTTTTACTCTTAGAGGATTTAGAATAATATAACGTATAACAATCATGGAATTATTATAAATATATGGAATAAAATATTGTTCTTATTTTTTATATACAATCAGCTAGGAATATTCTGATCCTTCCGGATTGCACGAAATCTCGCACGTGTGGAATAGAGAATTCATTGCATGAATTCCTATCAACTTTCGTGCATTTTATTTTATTTTATTTTTTTTTTTCGCATATTATATTTTTATTTTTTTTCGCATATTATATTTTTGTCTTTATTATTAATTTTATCTTTTAAATAATTAGAGAGAAATTTGAAATCCGAGACGACATAAAACGGCAATATATAAGCAATCGTGTCGATGAAATAGGAAACGGTGTCTGTTCGTGTGTGTCTACCGTGCGGATAACCCAAATAACGAGAGAAGACGTTACACGAGAGGCCCGATATCTCTGTCATCTCGAGGGTCGAAACATTTAGAAAGCAAAAGCGTATGCACGTATCGGCAGATATGTCGAACAGGTCGAGTGTAAACGGGAATTTCTATCGGCCCCAATTTTCTATTTACACTTGTCTTAGGATTTTTTCAATGTCATTGACTCCGAAAATGAAGCCGTTCGTCACCGTAAGAGAACACCGTTGCTTTGCCGACACATTAGACATCGTTATACCATGAGTCAACTCAAAGTGTTTCCTGGAACGATTATTAGATAATCATGCATAATTCAGTCTTCGAAACGATAACGTTACTCGTGTTCCTATTTTTATTTTATTATTCATCCATTTACTTCCGTCAACATTTTAAATACAAAAATTTCTGTTTTTTTAATATCTTGCGTTCTATTTAACAGAAGCCCAAAATAAATTTTTCACCATTTTCATATTTCGGTCATGTTTTTCATTAAATTCACTTTTTCGCGTTTCCCCTGGTTTGCGGTCTAATTAACTAAAGATCTGGCTCTAAAGACTGGAACAAGTTTCTTAAATGCCTAATTAGCCTTTCTTATTCCTATTATTCTGTCTATTACCTTACGGCTAGACCATTAAAATTCTTCCGCAATTTTACGCTGGCTTTATCGGTCTGCGCAAGCATCTCAAGTGCTTGATTTCAAATACTTAATGCAATCTGCTGCGCACACCGCTAAAGAAAGTCCACGGAAGAAAGTTAATCTTTCGAAATCGAGATACGAGGAAGATACTTTATGTTTAAATGTTCTTCTTTGAAATTTCAAAAATCAAAGTTTTTGAATTTCTAAATCTAAAATTTGATATATCTCATGCAGTGCGAAAATTCAAAAAATAAATATAGATATCTGAACTAATTGTTACGTGCGCTTAGTAGAAAATAAAATAAAATTAGGCTACTCAATATTAAATAAAATACTTTATCTTTATCGAAATTAATCTTATAGAAAATTATTAATGTAATATGCAATTGCATAGTCAAATCAAATATATATATATATATACATATACATATACAATAATTACCTTTAATTAAAATAAATTTTTGTAAATTAAAATAAATTTTTTTATCTGTGTTTTATTTTGTATCCAATATTATTAAATTAATCAGTCGCCGACTTATTCTGCAAAGTACTTTAATTAAAATTGTGAAAGATCACATGTTGCGAAAAGGAGAGAGCATCTCTCTCTCTCTC